TCCATAATAAAATGAGTAATAAAAAGTATCTTATCTTCTCCATATGATTAAAACAGCCAATGCTAACAAAGCTACTTTGCTCATTTACCTTGTACATGAGAAATAAAACATCATGTGAATGAACTTTAAATATAGTCAAACTTGATCCATAAGCCTGATGTTACAATGGATTCATCTTCTTCACATTGTCTTTCTTCATAATATTTTTCCCACTGAAATAGAAAGAAAATCAAGGTAGGAAGACAGGAGAGAGGGAGAAAGCGTCCTACATGGCCGCTACATGAGGTAGCAATTAATTCTGAAATACAAGTTAATGAGGAAGTATGATCTAGTCAGTGTCATAAAGTGAATAGTGATCAAAATAATTATAAGCCAGTGAATTTCTGACACATTTTCTTTCCTTAGTGGCGCCATGCACTTTAAAGGGATAGGTTATTAAGAGAGAGAGAGAAATAAAAAGAGACAGTGGAGTTCTGCAATAGATAAAAATATTGAAATATGGACTTAATGTTTAGGATTCCTTTTCTTTCAAGTTCCAGAATATTTAGTACTTTGGGCCCCCTCAGAAAAATCATTGGTTGGCTAATTTCTAACTGCTCCATCTACCTGATTTCACCAAAGAGTTAGACATGTATTGGTAACCGCAAAGGCCTTATATTCTACCCAGGGGAGAAAAGAGGAAAACAGATACAGGGGAAGAACAATGGCATCAATCGATGACATTTAGAAAAGTAAGCAATGACCAGCTCTTCCTTTCCTGAAAAAATAACCCATGCTCAGCAACTAAAGCTTTAATTTGACCCTTTCTCTACAATGACAATGACAAAGCGTGTTCCACTTCATGGAAGCTTCCAAAGGCAGCAGTAATTGCTATTTCAAATAACAAAACAGACAATCATGAAGAGAAAGCTTTTTTCCTTGACGTTCTCTTATTCACAATTTCAGTAGGAGAAAAATTACACATAAAGTTAGGTGAAGCAGGAATATGTGTTAGTGTAATTGATACAATAGATAGCCAAACTGTCAATTCATTGAGATTTTATAAATTTGCCAATATTTGTTAGTGGGCCCTGTTGCCTCAAGTGTCTAGTGTTTCCCAATTGAAAAATAGTCTCTTAGAGGATTTTAATTTACTCCTCAACCATTAGTGAAATAGGGAAACATGGAATGTTCCAGTAGGAAGAAATCCTCAAGGCCATCTAATCCAATTTCCTCATTATCACAGATAGAACAACTGAATCACTGAATCCCAGAGAAGTTAAATAACCACCCGAGGCCAGGCAGTACTCTTCATGCTCCTTTGCTCATTTTTTTTTCTACCTTTGGCCTATGTCTTATGCTGTTATTATATGAGTAGTTTATAAAAGATTCAAATTGGATGAAATGTTGAAGATTATCTATTTTGTCCTTTTCCCCTTCCAAACAAGTAGCCATCCAGCCATGCTTGAATACCTCCAGTGACAATAATTCACCATCAAATTATTCCAAGGCAGTTTTTACTAATGTATTAAATAATGTCTAAGACACTTTTAACGTTTTTTAAGTACAAGCTCATTCCCAAAAGTAATCAGATGATTTATTGTCAAACTATTTTTAACTCTTTGATTAAAGGGTTTTTAAAAAGATTAAAAACAGAAGCAGTGAATATTGTGTCTAATATAAAATTGGAGAATCCAGGTAAACAGCTTAGTTTTAATACGACATTGAAAGAACCCTTACCAACTTGAAAGAGATGATTTACTTGCCAAAGAATGACTTGGGCACAAGGGAAAAAGGGCTACATTAATAAAATTATTTGAGTTTCCAATTTTTTCTTATTCCTATTCATTATTACTAGATTGTGTCCTTCCTGAATGAACTATGGAAAGAGCAACTGCCTTTACAATGGATTAATATTGAATTTTTAAAAGTTGAGTTTCGTTTTTTTGTTTCTTTTTTAAGAAACTTGTGATCTTTTGGGGGGTGGGGAAAGCATAATGATACATAATGAAAAATACTGTTACCATCCTGGCAAATTTTCTATGTGAAATTGCAGCAGAATCCATCAATTATAGTAAATGACCAATAAAAATGTTCATCAAAAACTCATTTTAAGATACATTGTTAATGAACTGTATATAATGATGCTTAATCAAAACCTGACAGGATCGCATGGGAGGAAAGTTCCACAGGACCTTCAGAGCACTATTGTTCTGAACAAAAAATAACAATAAAACTGTATAATTAATAGCCTGCAGTCACGTGGCACTCTCTGGGGAAACTCAATTTCATAACAAGCTCCTTTGTTTTTTAAAACACAGGGATTGTGTTCCATAATATCACTAATGCCATCAGCAAGAAGGCACCATTTTTCAGGCTATTTTTATCTGACATGGAGTTTTTTTTATCGTTGTTCCTTGTTAACTAAGATGCAAAAATCAGTGAATGAAGCTGCTGACCACAAAGATAGGGGAAAAAAATCTGCTTATTTTGTATCTTCACAATCTATAAATGACATACTATTTAAAAATGTATTCCAATAGAATATCCGTGTTAAATACGCCATACAGAACATTTATCTTTTTCTCAGGTGACAGTGTAACAGTGATAGATAACACAAGGCACTTTGAGATGCTGAGATACAGCCCTCAAGGTGCAAATGAAAATATTCATGGAAAAGTTTAGAATGAGAAAAACAGTCAGTCAGTTGTAAAAGCAACCTTGTTAAATCAAACTTTACTTGATAAGCTGTATTAAACTTAGTATGCCAGTTTAGATAGTTATCAACCCTCAAAGTTCAGTGTGTCTATTATTGGCAACAATATTTCGCAGTTTACATACATGCATCCCATATATGGACCCCAAAATATAATTCAATGCCAATTTTATTGAAAGGAAAATGAAACAATTAAGATGCTTACCAAAACCACGTTGGGAGGCGTGAGGCCTGTTTATGAAGGGTGTGAAACGGTTGCAGTATTTTACTGCTAAAAATCTGGGTTAAGGCAATTGGCTCAAATGCTGATATGTAGTTTATTTTTTGTAAATATGAATACTGAGTATAAGAAACTTATCTCTATGCATGCAAACTAAATGAATTAATGTTCCCTATATTTCAGCTATATCTAAACACAGAATTAAGAACACAGTATTGCTAATGTATGTTTTCAAGCCAATCAGTGTCCTGTGGAAGTTATCCAACAACTCCTCCTATGTCAGACGGCTTCTTTTTTTTTTTTTTTTTTTTTT